TGTAGAGTTATAAATATATATATATATATATTTAAATGCAGTCATAATAAAATTTTAAAATGCTGAGGATCCAGCCCCAAAGACCCCAAAGCTTTCTCGGAGCTCATCTTAAGCACAGAGATGCATACTTCCCTCCTAGGTCCCAGGAAATGTGTCCAGAACCTCCTTCCCTTCCTTCTCATTGCAGGGCTCCTGAAGGGGTGTCCAAAAGTCGGTAAATCAGGTGGGGTAGGTCTAACCTGGGACTCCTCTTGAGTCTGGCTGATGGTCATGTCTTGCAAGAGGCAGGCTCTCAAGGAGCAGTGTCTAAAGCCAGGGCTAAGTATGATGTGGAAGGACCGAGGGCCTGGGGGTGGCATCACTCCAGCTGGGGCAAAGATCACTTGCCTTCTACTCCAAGGCAGACCTTGCCTCTCCTTCCCAAAGGTAAACTTACCTGTGTATATATAACCCTACCCCCAACCCCATCTCAGGGTTGCTCAGGACACAGAGAAGGAGCAAACTGCTCCCATGGGCCGGGCCTGCATGCTAGGAAGCTGGGCTTGCACAGACCAGGCTGGGCTGGGTCGGGGTTTGGAGAACCTGGACAACTCCCAAACCTTTCTGTACCATGCTCAGCTCTGTCCTCTAGGGATCGAAGACTCATGGCAAAGCCTCAGATATCACCTGGCTTGGCCCTGAGCACAGCTAAGATCCATGTAAGAAAACAGGCAGCAGCCACCGTGGGCCAGAGACAGGCCCCTGACCTCAGTCAGCAGGCAGGCAGCCCCAGAGAGGAATCCAATGGCCTTGCTCTACTGCTGCTCGTCCACACTGAGACCCTGAGTCCACTTTGGCAGATCATGAACGACACCAATAGAGACAAGATGGGAGCCTAGAGGTACCAAGGCTTCACCTGTGGCATGGTCCATATAGAGACAGCATCTGAATATCCTTGAGCTAATAATCCCAACCACTGCTCACATTTATTGAGCAGATCTCCATGCTGCTACTGTGCCAAATATGTTTTATAGCATAATCTAATTTTCACAGTAACCTGACAAGACAGGAACTATTGCTATTCCCATTTTTCAAATGAGAAGACTGGGATTCAGAGAGGTTAAGTAACTGGCCCAAAGTCACAGAGCCTGTTCCTCCCTCACCCTCCATGAGCATGTGGTTTCCATGCTATACCTGGCTCTGCTATCTAGTAGCTGTGAAAGTCCATTTGCCTCTTTGAGCCTATTAACCTCATCTATGAAATGGGTCTGATAGTGTTCACCTACCTCACCAGCTACTGTGGGGCTTCGACAAGATGGGACTGTGAAAGCACTTGGTAAACACCAAGGCACTGGATTTGTATTGTGGTCAGTGGCACCCCAACTCAGATTCCAGTGTTTTCCAGGGCTAGGAGGCCTGAGTTGGGTGGGAAAGAAGCCCCTGCTATCAACAGGGAACTGTCCCTGGGCCACAGCTTGATGGTCTCCAACTTGCTCAGGGCAGGGAGGGGATAGCAATGGCAGTGCAAGGATATCTCGTCCTCCCTGCTGCACATTCAATAAAGGCAGAGGTACAGCCCTCCAGGGACTGTCAGGAGGGGTCTCTGCTCCACACATTGGTGCCCAGGAGAGCCTGGCAAAGGAGATGCTGTCCAGCCCCAGGGGTTGGGAGACAGAGACTATGCTGGCCAGTTTGGAGCAGATGCCAGGGATTCTGTTAGAATGAGATAGGCTGGGTTTAGGAGGCCTGCTCTGCAGTGTTGGGGTCTCCCCTCGGGCCCTAAAGAACCAATCAGGGTGTAGCCTCCGTGGCCTGCATGCTGTACCCTGTGGTAGAAATTTGGGGTAGGGGATGGAGGCTAACTGTTTATGCCCAGGCCTCAGAGTAAGAGGTCTGAGCTCCTCCATCTGTCCCAGGACACTCTTGGGCAGTAGTGTTGATTAGTGACAGGACCCTGGCTCAAAGGATGTATGCCAGGGGCTCCCCTGAGGGATGGCCGGCTGGGTCCTGCCCTGCCTGCCAGTGAAGAGTGGCACACCTAGCTTTGGGACTCATTTTTGCTCTCCAATGGCAAGATTGTCTCTCAGCTTTACAAAAGTCAAGGAAAAGACATATGCAGAGAGCACCCATTTCACCAGGAAGAAACTGAGAGAGTCCTGGGGAAGGCATTGTCCTCTCCTAGGGGACCCCATCCCATTCTGCTCTGTGTGATTGCATGTGACCATGGCTAACATCCACCACCTGGCTACTTGCCCCAAATGGGGCAGTAGTGTGAGGGTGTCCTGGAGGAGGGGGAAGTAGGTGTTAAAGTGGGTATAGGTTTTCAAAGGCCCAAAAAGTACTTGCCTGCCCTTGTATTTATGCCACACTGCAGTGCGGGCCTCACTGACAGTAGGGTGGATCCCCATGGCTTTCTTATGACTTGAAAGACAGAATGTGGTCACCTATGCAAAGAACTGTGACTATCAGAGCTGTTGAGCACGAAATACACTGCTTCAGAGTAGTGAGCTCCCTGTCCTGGAGGCTGATGCAGCCACCCCTGGAACTTCCTCCAGACTTGCCTGCCCCTTCAGGTACAGTCTTTCACTGCTCTTCATCACCTCCAAACCTCTGCTGGTTTCTGGGTTTCCTCACCCAGAATGTCTCATGAGATCTCCCTGGTTCCAGGGAGTCTTATTTTACTGACCACCTACTGTGAGATCAGGCTTGTGACAACCAGTGCTGTGAAAGAGGCAGAGGGGTGCTGTGACAGAGAGGAGTCATTATCATAATAGCTCATGTTCATTGGACATGTCCTAAGCATATATCTTATTGCATTTATTTCACTCAACAAATGTGAGATAAGCAATTATATTTATACCTGTTTTCCAGATGAGGAAACTGAGGCTCTGAGAAGTTAGTAACTTGCCTAAGGGCACAAGATAGGTATGGCACCAGACTGATCCCAAACTCAGTGACTTGGCACTCAAACTTATGCTATAGTCATATCTACGGTGGAGATAGTGCCCTTGTCTCTGGGGATGAGGAAGGGGCTGGGGTCTGAGCACCAGATGGGCCTTTGGTGGGATGTGGGTGTTGGGGCAGGAAACCTGTGAATTCCATTCAGTTTTTGGAGAGCTTGGCTACTATTAATGGCCCTTGACACAGAGCCTGGCACCAAATGGATTATGTGTTCAATAAATGTTTGTTGAATGAATGAATGAGCCCCATTTGAGGGAGCATTCATTCAATCCGCTTTTATTGCAGACCTCCTACGTGCCAGGTCTCATGTTGCTTGTGCACACACATACACAACACTCTTCTGGGAGGGTCTGGCCTGGAATGACCCAGCAGCTGGGCAAAGTCAAAACAAAGGGGTATGGAGCTTCAGTGCTGAGAAGCCAGAGATGGTGATAAGCCCAGCCTGAGGTCCCTGGGAAAGAAGCCAGGAGTATGAGACAGTGCCAGCTTGACTAGACCACTCTGGGATGTGGGAAGAGTGAGGAGAGGTCCTCACCCTGATACCACTTTAATGAGGTGGGCACATTGCAGTGTCTCCAGTGTCTGAGAATGAGGAGACCTTATTGTCTGCACTTTACAGGCAAGGGACAGACCAGATAGTCTACAGGAGTCTGATGGGATCAAAAAGCAGAAAGGGGGGCAAACTATTCCAAAACCCTAGCACCATCCTCCACCCTTAGAGACAAAATGGGGCCCTGTCAATGGAAGGGACAAGGGCTGGGGTGGGGGAGCTGGGGATTCAAGGCAGGCCCAGACCTCCACCACTACCCCTCCTAAATTCCCTTTCTCTGTCCCTCACCCCATCCCCTGCTGCCCTCCATCTATCTCCCATCCTCCAGCTGGAATTTGTGTAAGAAAACTGACATTTATTGACCACCTAGTATATGCCAGGCACTGTGCCATGTTTTTTAGCTACTACTAAATGACAGATTTAGTTGTTCCCATCATATAAGTTGTTCAATAATTATCTATTGAGTAAATAGATGAACCACAATCTTTATTTTACAGGTG